TTTAGGCCACTTTGGGTGCTCTTGGGCCATATTGGGCCTTAAGGGCCTTGTAGTTGGGCTTGGAATGCCTTTTTTGGACTAGTTGATTTGGGTCGTGGTAGGGCAGGCCTAATGAGGCAAGGGTTAAGAAACCTTTTCTTCTTTTCAGACAAGAATTAGGGTTGGACCCCCGGGTTAGAATATTGGCCTAATTTCTAATTAGGGTTTTATACTTGTGCCTTAGGGAGAGGATTTCACGATTCAACCGCTGAGTGTGATTTGATACCTTCATTTTGATGTGAGTTTCCTTCACTATATCTGTGGGTCGAAGGCACCAATGCCGACCCACTAGTTTATGTTGTAGTATGATGGTTGACTTCGTGACAACTGTCAGTTATGCCTGTGTTTGTTATGATATTATATGGTAGTGGTAGGGGGTGAAACAGACCCGATATACGGTTGAAATATACCGAAGATGAGTGCACGCACCCAGATATGCTTGACTATATCCGGTTGAAATAGACCGAAGGGGATTGCAAGCACCCAGATATGCTTGAGTGTATCCGGTTAAAATTGATTGAAGGGGATTGCAAGCACCCATATAATGAGTTCATTTAAGAGTCCCCTTATTATAATTACCATGTATTTATGGTTTCGACTAAAAATTAAAAATAATATAAGAGTACGACATAACATGCTTATTGTTTTTATTTTTTATGAAAATCGTAAATGTATTATAAACTACAAATTTATTTAATGTGTTTGAAAAAAAAAAAGATTCTAAGTCTCTAAACTTTTAATTTTGCAGATTGTTATGTGCATGTTTCCTCCCTTATAGTTCCGGTTAATCTCTTAACTGAAACGGCTAACTTACCTTTATTTACTCTTTTTAACATTTCTTTTTAAATAAAATAAAAATTATAAAAAATAAATAGCCCCACCACCCCCTCTCTCTCACACTTTGAATTAGTTGCCCTTTAAAAATAAGAAAAAGAAAACGAAACATTTCCCCTTTTTTAAGCCCATCATCCCATTTTTTGTTAGGAAACTCAACCTAAAAGGTCGCTAACTTTTTCCTTGTATCATTTCCCACTAAAACGACCTGTCATTTGCATTTATCTTTTTCATGTCGCTTATCGTAACCTCCATTGTTTTTTGCATTTATATTTTTCATATAGCTTATCATACTCAATGGTGGTTGAAATTGTGTCGTGTTTGGGTTGACGGGTCAGAAAGTTCAACTCGGACACGAACATATAAATATACATTTCGTCTTACTCAACCTTAATTTGGATAAGTCAAACCTTAACACGACCCACCTAACCCGTTTAAATATACGGGTTCGCAAGTTTGTGGGTCAGACTTGGATCGTAGTCCAGAATCAAGTTCATGTGTCACATTTTTTTAATTAAGGAAACTTTCTGAAAAATACACCAAATTCTAGAAAAATAATTGATAAACCCATGCAAATAAACGGTTAAAAATATTCATCCAAACACATAAATTTAAATGTTGTTTGTTTTTTCGAAGCTAAAACGTCTGCAGTCTGCTGACCACATATACAACCATCTGCAGCAGAAGAGGTGAACCAAACGTCTATAGTCTGCAATAAAAAGTCTGTTTGTTTTTTAACGTCTGCAGTCTGAAAAAACATACCAAACATAATCTGATTTCTGATTACCAAAGAAACATACCAAATCATAATTTGATTTCTGATTACCAAAGCTTTAAAATTCTGATTTCTGATTTCTTAACTCATTACCAAAGCAATAAAATTCCTTAATTTTGATTTCTTAAGTCATTAACATCAATGATAATTTGGTTCTTAACATAAACATATATCATCTAAGATAAACAAACAAGAAAGAATCATCTAGCTTTAAACAAACATCAAACATCCCATGGCATAATTTGAATTTGAAAAAAAAACTGATACTGAAAACATCCCAACATAATAAGATTAGCATAAACAAACATAAAAAAAATCATCTAGCAAAAATCCCATAAAAAATCAAATTTTGAAAAAAAAAACTAATATTCTAGAAAATCAGAAATCTGATGCGTTTCTTCAAAAATCATAAAACAGTTGATTTCAAATCAGACGGGGAAAAGGAGGAAAGTGTTACCTGAAAGGAGAAAGATAAGGAGAGGGAAAATCGGTCAACAGGAGGAAGACAACGTGTGAAGAAGGGGGGATTTGTGTTTGTAGATGGTTGTGGAGGTCGGAGCTTCTGGTGCGTCTGGTGGACTATGATTCTGGTGGTCGGTCGGAAGGAGGACGACGACCGGTGGAGGACGAATGATGAGAGGTATGGAGGTGCTGAGAGAAGAGAGTCAAACGTGTTACATGTTTTTTTTTGTTAGGTTTAAATGAGATGTGAAGACCTCAAAAGACATTGGTCAATTTCTATACGAAGAAGACCTCGCGCAGACGTTTTTAGGTCTACACACTTCCAAAAAAACAAATATTCTACAAGGGCATATGTCTGTTGTGGTCTGTGCGGCGCATGCAGAAGTGGTCTCGCAGATTTGCAGACAAAAAACAAACAGCCCCTTAATTTCTTTTCCCATAAACATATTCCTTTGTCACTTCTTCAACAAACTTTCTATCAAAGCTTTTTTTCTTCATAATGAGCTCCAAATATAAATGATACACCAAGTTAAATTTATGGCTTCTAGAAAACCTACATAAGTAAAAATCTACAATTAATATTACAAAAAACTCACCAAACGTCAACTTAAAAGTTTATTAGAATCCGTAGCTTTTGTTTTGTCTTCATCAAAGTTCAAATCCATTATGTTTTTAGTTAGTTTTTAACATGTGAATCAACTGATAAGGAATAGAAAAAAATGATTAATCAACACCAAATACTAGTTAATATAAGTAAATCCGAAATTACAAAATATTACATTTTTCTCCAAACAACCGATCCATACTACAAACTAAAGCTTAAACAATTTCATTTGTCAAGAAACTTCACTATTCATTCAAAATTCTTCCATCGAAACTAAAAACCGTTTTGGATGCTAATTTTTAAAAATGAACTTAAAGTATATTCATAGCTAATTCTAGATACCTAATTGCCTATACTATTGGGATTTACAAAACTCAAACATGTTAGGAAAAAAGTTATTTTAGCTGCTCAAGAATGTATATACTTGCAATTGACTTTTCGAACTAGAATTATAGTATTCGTCAAACTTCTACTATATTAAATAAAATATTAAAACGAGTTAGTATGTTTAAAAACTTGAAAACTACAATGCAAATGTAATGACAATATGATTTACCTATCGTTTTCTAATATCAAATTAAAATTTGGTTATTTTATGCTATTACTCTCATTTTTGGTATCTTTT